AGGAGTGCCACTCTGCACAATGAGGATTTAACTTCCCGCAGAGGCCAGTGAAAAACCGATAACTTCAATTTCACAACAACTACTCTTTCAATTCGACAAGAAATCAAAATCTGAAGTTGAATTAAATCCAACCAATTAAATCTTTCTATGATGGAAAATTTGAAATGCAATCTTCTATTTTATCTTAACATTCAAAACGCTAATATTGGCTTAAAAATAACACAATCCGTGCATTGCACGGGTAAAAACTAGTTTTAATAAAAAATTCATTTAAAATAACTTAAAAGTTTATAAAAAATAAAATAAAATCCATCTCATTTCGAGGAAACAAACACGCAAAGCACGCAGAGGGACCAACCTTACGAAGCTCCTTAAATATCGATTTCTCCGGCGGAATCTCCCGATACATATTTCCTGCTAGACCTTAAACCTCAATCGGAAAATCCGATCCGCTCCATTTACAGAAGATCCGAATTCAATTCATTAGTCATTTTCGGATTTGATTGATGGCTCCGGTTTCTGCTCTCGCGAAGTACAAATTAGTGTTCTTAGGAGATCAATCGGTCGGAAAGACTAGTATTATCACAAGATTCATGTACGATAAATTCGATAACACTTATCAGGTAAAGATCGATTAATCGCCATCAAATTTTGATTTTATATAAGTAAATTTGCTCAGAGAGTACGGATCTGACTGCTAAAGTTTCTAATTAGTTCGCATTTTCAGAGTGCTTAGTGTCTGTCTTAATTTATTGTGATTTGTTTATATTACTAGCTAGTATATACACGCCGGGATGAGTTTTGGATTTCTTTTAATGTGGTTACTGGTCTTATGGTAATGACTAATGAGTTCTCGTTTTTATCAATGATCGCATCTTAGTCATCTGATGCCGAGAAAACGAGTAATTTGGCACTTATCATGAATGATCTTATGTATTAATAGACATTAGTCTAAGTCCAGGCTGGGATAGTGCTTTGGAATTTTTTGTGTAACTAGAATATTTATATAAAGTCTCGATCAGTTTAGAGAATACCCTCTTTTGGGTCTGTCGATTTTAATGCAAAAATTAAAGTAACAATTTGTTTAGTAGTAGAAGACTAAAATGGAATATGGGTAGGGGATACGTTTCTTTCTGAAAAATTTATTCAACTGTCTTTGTTTAAAATGTTCAAATTGAAGATTGGACATGTTTATCTTCTAGCACCCAACTTGTTCTCTTGCTGCTTCCTAGTTCACTTGTAAAACTTCTCATAGAAATCTAGTAGTTTATTTCATGTGATTAACTCTTACTAATCATATCTGAATCTGAATTCTAACAGCAATCTTAGATGTATTTTACTTACGCATTGGCATTTAGTTAATAATTTGTTGATCCAGGTTCTCTCCATTCACCTTTCTTGTATTATCCTCCATTTACCAACTATAACTAAAATTGTATTGTCGCTATGAATGATCCAAACATCCATAGAGAACTTCTTGTTTAATATGAACACTCTCTGAATTACAAAATGCTTTTGAATCTTGTCTATTTGATTGCATGTTTTATTAAATATTGAATAAAGAAAGGAAATAGTTTTATGATATGCATGACATACTCTTGAAAGTGGACCTTTTCATGCCTAAACAGCGACTGTCCTGCAATAGGTGACAGATTCTTTATATGTTTTGATTTCCTTTAATTGATTTTCAGGCTACTATTGGTATTGACTTTCTTTCAAAGACAATGTACCTTGAAGATCGAACAGTAAGATTGCAGCTTTGGTAAGATGTGTTTCTTGCTTGAATAATGTCGCCATATTTTGAACATATATGTAACAGCGTTGTGATTGGTTAAGATTGTTGCCTCATAGTGTGTGCATATTACCTGTAATTATAATCATAGTACTGAATATTAATCTGAGTATGATCTGAGTGTTAAAATTATAGTATACTGCAAACCATTCTCCTGCTGGGTTTTTTCGTCATTGGTCAAAAGATTACAGTGACACTTTGGTTGATTTATGGGTCGAAGAGATTGCAGATGCTACTATTGAGCTGCTAATTCATTTGTGCATACTCTTCTGTACACTGTTTGACAGAGGCCCAGTTGCAACATGGAGTTTTTGCCTTTTCACATTCTCCCATCCCATGTTGCAACTGGGCCTCTCTCAAGGCTGTATATGGTGGCATGGAAAGCTTTTTCTTATTCTATGGTGGGACTGTACTGGTGAAGAGGTGTTTGAAAGCTAGTTCATGTAATTTTATGTTCTCTTTTCTGCAAGGCCCTAAGCATAGTCATCTTTCACATTTTGGCATGTATGCAGTCACTGTACCATCGATTTCAGATTTATTTACTTTGGATTTCTTGCAGAGCTGTATACTTTGGGAACTTTATTTAATATTATTGTGTGCAGGGATACTGCCGGACAAGAAAGATTCAGGAGTCTAATTCCAAGCTACATAAGGGACTCCTCTGTTGCTGTCATTGTATATGACGTTGCAAGTATGAATCTTCTTGTACATTGTTCCCCTGCTTGGTATTGATTTAAATCAGATTTTAATTTAAGCCAAAGTTAAACAATTAATATCATCAACATATTATATGAGTCTCACAACTTTTTAACCACACATTTCAAATTTTTTTATCAAAATCTACTACAAATCCAATTTTAATCCCCACCAATCAGGGGGCTGTATTTTTATATGGTTACACCACACATAGAAACCGAAAAACAATTTGATAATTGAGAATCCAGAGAAAAAGGATGGTTGCCCATTTCTTTCTAAAGAATCTACTTGGAAAAGAAACTACCTATAACCACATGAAAAAGTGTTCATACGGTTGTTGTATTTCCCAATCCTGTCTCATATCTACTGACTTCACTTGAGTTCTATATATTCGCTCTATAAATATGCATTGATGATAATTTTACCTATTATTTTGATGCCTTCTAGGCAGGCAGTCCTTCCTCAACACTTCAAAGTGGATTGAGGAGGTTCGCACTGAGAGAGGCAGTGATGTCATCATTGTGGTGGTTGGCAATAAAACTGACCTAGTGGATAAGAGGTATGGATGTTAATTTTTTCCCTTATTTTTGTTTTTCACATATAGCCCCAGTTTGGTATTGATTAAAATCAATTTTTAATATAAGTCAAATTCAAACAATCAATATTAACCACATATTTCATTGGTCAACAACTTTTCAACCACACATTCCATCAACTTTTATCAAAATCTACTAAAATTCTAATTTTAATCTCCACCAAACAAGGGCATAATATTAATGTTAAATTGAGACTTTTCTGCTGTTGATGTATGCTATTTTGTTACTTCTATTTGAGGGATGAATGTCCTAACTCAGCAGTTGGATCATGAATCGAAATATGTGCAATTAGAAAAAACAAAATATTATTACTCAGGACCTGAGGTTATAGAAATTACTAACTGGGTAAAATTGCAAGTTTTTTAATGTAATAGTGCAGGAGATATTTCTGAAATTATTCTGTTCAATAAACCTTAAGTTTGTTATATGTCAGTGCTTGCTCATTTAGAATTACGCAAAATATGTGTCCTGTGTTTGAATTTCCTAATCTTCTGATTATTATTTTTTCTTTTCCGTAAACCTTCATCAAATACGTTAAGGGTGTGGTCAAGGAGACATGAATGAATTGATAATAAATGTGTTTCTGCTTGGCACCAGTATTTAGGTCTACCTTTGCTCATTGATCAATTTAATGATGTAAGTTTCAGTTTAAACTTTTATCGGCATTGTTGTTACAATGATGAAAGCGAAATTGAATTAGTTTGAATAACTATCTAGGTATATTCATCAGGATAATGTTCTTGTATTTAATTCCTTTGACATTATTCTACTCTAATGCGTTATGTGCATGGTGACAATTTAGGCAAGTCTCAATAGAGGAAGGAGAGGCCAAAGCTCGTGACCTAAATGTCATGTTTATTGAAACGAGTGCCAAGGCTGGCTTCAATATAAAGGTAAGTGGCAGTAGTGGTAATGGATTCTACTTTCAAATGTTCTAGTTGAGTGGTGGACTAAATCTTTATGACTTGGCTCACCCTCAATTACTTAGGGGAAATTCTCAATTTTTTTTTAATGAATGTAATGAGCCTATCCCCTCTTCTTTATTTATATTAAAAAAACTTAATCTAATGCAAAAGTGTTAGTTTTATTCCATCATAATAACACCAAGAGATGGCAATATCAGGAGGCATGATTTTTTGTTAAGAATTCTATTATGTGTTGAATAATCTTGCAGCTACTTGTAAATTTCAATCTTGTTACATATACATTGATTTTTGTGAGTTAGCAATTTTTTATACATTGATTTTAACAACACTTTAAACAATCAATGACACAGATTTTGATAACTCACACAATGTCATCTAGGAATGTACATCTAGATTAATTCTATAAATTTTTACTTAATAGTAAGTTACATTTTTGAAAGTAACTCCCTACTTTTTTGTTAAAATAACATTTATTTTTACTTGTAAGAGAATGTGAAACATATCTAAATATGCTTGGGAATGAGAAGTTACTCAAAAATAAATTTAAGCTTTGGCAAACATGTACATCATGAATGAAATAAACCCTTCACAATCAACAGTTGCACTTATTTTTATTTTTTTTTTATTTGAAAGCTCGGTAGAGATGCAATACTAAAACTAAGGCCAATTGTTTCAGGCACTATTTCGCAAGATTGCTGCAGCCTTGCCAGGAATGGAGACGCTATCCTCAGCAAAGCAAGAGGACATGGTTGATGTCAACCTCAAGTCGAGCAATACAAATGCGTCTCAGTCACAACAACAGTCTGGAGGATGCGCCTGTTGATTGAAGGCCAATATGATGCATTATTATGTTTTGGGTCGACCCTTCAATCTGGATGTAAAGTACTTCCTTCTCATTGGTTGCATTTGAATTTACGCTGTAGTTCACTACTACTGTGTAATACTCTTACCTGTATCACTTTGTGGACCTGTAGTTATCAAGGATTTAAATGGTCAGATTATTTTTGTCAGCGAGTTATATTTGTAGTGTATTAAATTACTTGTGGTGCCTTTCAGATTTGTTACAGGAAATTTTGATTTGAAATTTTCAAATAAAGCAGTGTTTTATTTCTTTTCTGTAGTAGTACGCAGAGAGTTTTTTGGCAGGAAAACTTGGATAAATTCCACGCAGGTCGCTCATCTTTGCCAAGAATGGCATTCAGGTTTCCAACCTACCAAATGTTGCACCAGAGTCCCTAGCCTTTTAGAACTGTGGCAGTGCATCCCGACTTTTAACAGTTAGTCTTTGTTTGATCCCCATTATTTTCAAAATACATTTTTTTTTTTTTTATTTTCAACCACATTTTTTAACAAAATAATAAATTCAAAACTTTTTCTTATTTTTTAACCATACATTGTCCATCAATATACTATTTCAAAATGTATTTTTACAATAAAATGGGGCTCAAAAAGACTCTTAGAATTCAAAATTCTAAACCGTTATGCCCTTCCCACTAGGAAAAAGTTCAAAAATCAGGTGTTTGGAACGAGGCAAATCAATATTCAAATTTTAAGTTTCAAAATTCATAAATCAGGTATTAGTTAATTAATTAAATATATATTTATTAATTAAATATATTAAGGTCACAATTATAGAATTAATGGTCACAGTTTATTGGTAGGTAACAGATTTCCAAATTAATTAATTACAAATTTTTTAATGGTCACATGAAAAAATTTGTAGGTCACAATTAATTTGTCGGTCACAGATTTTAAAATTGGGTTATTGGCGCAAAACGTTCCTACCTATGACAGGTTGTGTGGAAAACGTCCATACGTTTGATTTTTTGGTGCAGAACGTCCCTACCTATGCATTTTCTTGCGCAAAACGTCATTTTCCCTAATTTTTAACTTAAAATGACATATATACCCTCCAATTGAAATAAAAGGAAAAGGAAAAAGAAAAAAAAA